CAGACAGCTTTAAGACTGTCAAGAATGTGTCAAGACATATTCAGACATTATTTAGAATGTCAAGAATAAGTGAAGACATATTCAGACATTATTAAGAATGTCAAGAATATGTCAAGACTGATCGAGACAAATTTAAGACAGTCAAGAATAGGTCGAGACTAATCCAAAATCTTATCAGATGATACAGGAAGTGTCGAGAAATTTGCAGACAATGTTCATACTGTCAAGACACTTGTCAAGAATAATCAAGAACCTTATTAGACAAATTCATACTATGTTAAAATTTTAAAAAAATCTTTAGACAAATAAAGAATGTTGAGTAAAAATTCAAGCAAATTCAGACAAAAACTGGTCTTTTCAGACTTTTTGACTTTTGTAGTGCATGTTTGAGGCAGTATTTGTCTATAAAAATGACAAATTTCAACACCCTAAATCTTGTAAATGCGGAAAACAATGAGATAAAGAATAATGAGTTTTTGAATAATCAAGTGTTAAAGCTTTAGAAACTCAACAGTACATATTTTTTTCAAGAAACAGTTTGTTGATTATTCCAAGGGAGATAATCCAGGAAAACAATATTTTCAGAAAATCATAAAAGTACATATTTTTAAAACTATCCAGCCTTTGGTCTATTAAAAATATAAAAAATCACTTTGTTTTATTAAGTGGAATACTAAATTATGCATTTAAGCTAAATATTGTTACAGTCTGGGGTTAAAATTCTAACACATCAATTACTTTGCCATACTTTCATACAATTTAATAAAACTTTTGCAAAATCTTTTTTATGGTTAAGAGATAATGTCTGAAGCAAACTTTAGAATTTTTTGTTTTTCATTTAAGTATTTTCATGATAGATGGAGTTAGTTTTTTACAGTTTACATTTAAAGACAGTCATGGATTGATTTTTTTTTTGACATGATGAATTTGTAAAACTTCATGGACAGACGCTAATCTTCAAGACCAAGAAATAGCGTCTTATAACATTTGATTCTTTTTTTATTCTGTATTTTACTAATATATGGACTCATTTTTATGTCAATATTCCACTTTTACACTGACAGCAACAATCACAGGCTAGACACAGGGTTCTGAGGAACCCCTTACGATTTTTTTGGTAAAGTTTCTATCTATTGGAGAGTTTAAAATAATATGCAACAAGAATGTGTCCCAAGTACACGGATGCCCCATCCGCACTATCATTTTCTTTGTTCAGTGGACCGTAAAAATGGGATAAAATCTCTAATTTGGCATTAAAATTAGAAAAATCATATCATAGGGAACATGTTTACTAAGTTTCAAGTTTATTGGACTTCAACTTCACCCAAAACTAATTCGACCAAAAACTTTAACCTGAAGCAGGACGAACGGACGAACGAAAGGACGTACAGACGAACGAACGGACGGACGGACGAACAGACGGACGGACGGACGGACGAACGGACGCACAGACCAGAAAACATAATGCCCATAAATGGGGCATACAAATTTTGTCATTTATGGGCCAAAACTCCAACAGGAGTTCGTCTGACAATTATGACGTAAACTGACAGTGGGGTGATCTCAACATTTTCTATCTTGTAGTTTTCAAGATAATAGACAAAACATGCATCTTACCCCTCTAAGTTCTATTTTTAGCCGTGTTGGCCAAGTTGGTTGGAAAAAGAAGAAACAAAAAGGGGGGCGGGGCGGAGTCATTGCTCACAATTCTTAATACTCGATACCCCAATGATGATTGTGGCCAAGTTTGCTTAAATTCAACCTTATAGTTTCGGTGAGAAGATTTTTGAAAAAGTTTATGGACGACTGATGCCTACTGATGGGAAAAGCTTGCGTGGCCCTTTGTTAAATTGTACTTTCAAAAAAATTTCAGAGACTGTATTTCTATAGTTGGGCAATCTGTTCCATTAGATAAAAAGCTGGTGTTTACAAAATTAATTACACATAATTCTTAGACTGTCAAACTTAAAGTTCAACTGCCAGACTTGAAGGTACAGTTCATGCTGGATCCAAGGACCAAACACTCAATATTTGGCAGTAGTACATCATTGAAGTCTGAATTATGTACTACATCTGCTTCATCAATTGTTCCGCTTTATTAGAATTGTCCACCAATTCATTTGTTTTCTTTGTGGTAAAGTTTCGAAATAAGCTTCTGATCTGATTTGATGATAACCATTTTTTTGGTTTAAACATTTTACTGATATGAGGAGATGTTTTTTAAGGCGATCACAAATGCCTTCATAACGAGGTCTTTTTCAGTTTGTTCCACCTTGCTCAAAAAGCATACAATATAAAAATAAGAATATGTGGTATTATATTTAGTTCTCTTTTGATTTTTGAGGACATTTTACAACTTTCTTGGGCTTTTCAAAACCAAGCCTTTATTTATCAAATCTTCATGGTTTTCTTAGTTTATTTGGGAAATCAAACAAGCTGACTTTTACATGTACAATGTATGTCCAAACTTTCTGATAGGGACCTTCAAAATATATTTCGGTAAATTCAAAATTATTGCAATATGAATTACACAAAAGATTTTCAATGTCCCCCACCTACTAAAGTTTGAACAGGGCTCATTTTCAGCCTTGACCGGTTATCTATATAATGTTAATGCTTGAATGTTATCAAAATTAGATAACGATTAATTATGCTAGAATCCGATGCTCGAACGGACAGATGAACGAACAGCATTTATATTTCTTCGGCCGCAAATACTAAATTTCAATCCTGGTTTCTGTGATGAGTTTATGTATATATGTCGATCCATAAATGAGAAATTCAAAACCCTTTATTTTAATTTTGCAAGCATTTAGAATGACAAAAATTCAATGTGTATTCACAAATTCACTTAAGAGTATAGTACTTTCTGTATTGGAAAATAGAACAATATGATGATCCTTCATATAATCAAATTTAGGTCTGATTTGAAAATTGGTACTCACGGCATTCAATTAGTGAAATGCAGACCTGTACTCTCAATCAACTTTTCTATGGATTAGGACTGCACCCCTCTGTAACTAGCTTCGTCATTAAAACCTCCAGAGCAAATAATGTACTAAACAAAAATATTTGCCTCTGATGGTGTATTGTTGATTACATTGTTTTAAACAGACTTTACAATAAGCTGTTTGTATGTTTTTAATTAACATCTGAAACATTGGGACGGGTTTTGTTTCGCAAATACACGTTTTGAAGTTTGAAACCATTATTTGTATGCAGCTTATCCTGGAATCGTAATAATTATCTAAGATCAGTGTTCTTTGTTAATCATTTACAACATTAAATGCATGACGTTTGTAAGGTCTGGTTTTATACTAACTGAATTGTCGTCTGAGCCACATAAATATATGTGTGCATGGGGAGTCCTTATATTTGCAAATCAGTTAAATACACTGTTTTAAATTCATTTCATACACTTAATAATATTGTTGTCTATTCCTTACGTTTATTTCATTACTTAATAAGTTAATGTGTATTCCTTTTTCACGGCATACTTGAAAGATCGGAAACGAAATAGTAATTGGTTTGTTAAATTTATCCAAATAAATAAAATTATCTCAAAATCGAAAAATAACACCAATCGGAAATTTAAAGGTCTAAATTCGTATCTGGTGCAGTCAAATTGGCACTTAAAAAGTACCACATTGTTTCACTTCGTAGACTACTAGTTCATAATAAAATAACAGTAGCCAGGTTGTCGGTGCCAGCATGGTCATCCAATTACTGTGCCTTTTGAAATTCATTTCAATAAAGGAATATCTCTTTTTTTGTGCACAGCTCTGATTCTTTGTTGCTTTTATTTAAGTATATGTGGTTTACTCAGCTACTTCACATTCGAACTACGTTAGCGTCGAACATCATTGAATAGGCACAAATTGTCGATTAAAGCATCTCACGCAGTCAACGGTTAACGGTAATGTAACTTAACTGGTATTCCGTCAATGGGTGGTTCAAATCTATTTAGGTAGTTGTCACATTCAGATATAAGTAGGACAGTAATTATTTTTACGATATATTTATTAAAGCATTTAATTTACAATCTTTGTAATTTTATACTAATTCCCTAAAATTATTCCTTTTAAATTGGAAAACTTATAACGATTTGGTTCAAAAGCAGTACAAAAAATCAATGTTAAAATTACTCGAATCGAAATCGTAATCGATCTAAAAGATTGGGCGAAATCCAGGAAAGGGCTTCGGACAAACGGAATTTCCAACTCCCTCTGGAAAAAATAATCTTATATTATTTATCTATACCATTATGTCCCTATTTGTCATTTCAATCCTCACGTGTGTAGGTAGTCATACATTCTTGACTTTAAAGGTTTTGGTTTTAGCATGCATGATGTGAATGGTACACACGAAATATATAAGGTGTTATTTTAGTTAAGGTAATTATCCATAAATGGTAATCGTCAGAACAGAGAATGGAAACAACCAAAGAGCTGAAATCAGTCAAAGGAACCCGATTAGTCTTCAACGCAGCGAGAACATCCTGCACCTGGAGACGGGCTGCAGCTGCCCTTATGACAACGAAATTTTTAATTTAAACAACATGTTTGTTTTAAATAGAGGTTGGTCATTTAAAAACGTATCAACATTACCATATACGTTGACGTAAACGCATCTGCAGATACACCAAAACATATTATGTTATCCCGAGCTTAAGACTATTATACGTTTTCCCTCTGTCCCTCTGGTATCTTTCGCCCCTCTTTTCCAACAATTAAGTCAGCTACACAATTAAATACTAGCATTAGAAATTAAGAAGTTGCCAATCTGCATTATTGAAAGTATTTACAATTAAAGCTTGGGATCACATAATGTTTATTGCTAAATCTGCAGATGCGTATACTTTAACGTCTTTAAATGACCGACCTCAAATACTGTTCTTAAAATATAAGAAAGAATGTGTACATGCATTTATCTAGAAACGTAAACAACACTTTGAATTCAGCTGAAGATTGAAATAGTAATTTTAAAAAAAATAGACTTACCAGTAAAAAGCGATATCTTCCTTTAACTATAATTGCATTGGAACTCATTGAAAAAACAACTGTTCGTGTCTATTTAAACTATCAATGGATATACATGAAGCTCACCTATTGGATTCCTCTCACGTGTATCAAAGTAGCCAATCATTTATAAGTTGTAAATCACCTGAACTAATTCGCGTTATACAAATCAATTACCTAGAATCAACTTCAAATCTTGGCAAGTCCTAACATATAATATTAATTTCTGGTTTGCTAGTGCCTTTTATTAAGGTGAAACGAGTTTTATAATAAAGGATAACGTATTTGAATTAATTATTTCTTATGTTACGTCAGTTATCAGTGTATACAATACAGTATATACACATTTTACTTCATAATTATAAAATGTGATAATCATAAATGAAGGGAAAAAAAGTATGAGGCTAATCATACTAAAACTATCTCACATTTTGATACAGATTCATTTGTTACTGAATATCCCATTATTTTCTGTTGCACAAAATAAATTCTCAGGATGATGATAAAATTTACGACTAACAGAAATCAAGAAAGACAATGAAATTCACGATCAAGTTGAAAAGTAGGGAACTATTGGCATCCATGAACGATGCTAAAACAAACATTGACAGCAAAAACAATGAAACAAAAATGTATAAATTGAACCTAAATTAGTTTACAATTTAACCTTCATGTAACAAAAATATCATAGCTTTGTTTTGCTTAAATTGCAAAATGTATAAGCAGATTTTCTTTCGAAAATGGGGTCTGATTATTGCAGAAATAATGATGCTTAGCAAATTGTGAAATATCAATCTTCGTTATAATTAACACAAAAAAATATTTCTTGTCGTATAGAACTGCGGAATATGTCAGAATTGCTTAAATGAAAGTCCTTATTTTATTAACCTTGGCACCCCATAGTTGGTAATACGACAAGAAAACTTTAAAATTGCATTATCTGATTTATGTTCCGTCAAAGTAATTTATTTTCTGCAAAGATTTGCAACAAAAATTGTACCAAATTTTATCAATGATAATAAATGTGATTCTCTTTCATATGCATCGATCTATAACCACACCCAACGACTCAATTACTCGTCAAAATAAATCTCGCTAACCAAATAATAAACGCTTGCAATGAACAATTCATTTGTCATTGTAATTGCATGAAGCACGAAACAAATGAATTGATTCAGTGTTTGAGGAATACAAGTAATTTTATAAGTTAATTATGGTAGTTACTTTATAAAATAGGGTACTATGGGTTTTATCTTGGCAATCTTACACCGAAAAAGCGAATGTTTTTCAACAGTTGTAAACAAATTGTCCTGAATAATTCTTTTTTTCTTTTTTGTTTGACCATCCGGATTTTATATTCTATTTGTAAACTCAGCGTTAATAGTTTTTTTAACTGACTAATAAACGGAAGAACGTATTGTTTCTAGCTGCAACGTCTTAATACTATTAACTAAGAAAACAATGTAGAGTAAACCACCATTTGACAACAATACACGGTTACTAGCAAATGAGTTAAATGTTTTAAGTAACAGTAACTTGAATTTTGATCAGGATCAATAATAAACTTACCTAGGGTATTATGTCGACATGCCTTGAAGTACAGTTTATTGAGACTTGGTCCCGTCAGGGCTGGTTTTCAAATGAAAGACTCATTCTTTCTGAAAGGAAAAACCTTCATATGGGTATATGATCATTAGTAAATACAGAAAAAGACATATATGAGGACTTAGTAAGGCTGTGCTGGGTGCATATTAATCCTGTTAGATTTGAATGTGCTTCGGAAAAAATATACTTTTCCGCAGTTAAAAAAGACACGATCAACTTTCATATTGATTCACTTATGAAATGTTGCAGGACTTTTATACAGTAAAAGTCCATATATTATCAAAAAAATTGATGCTTAATCCTTATAACTCCCTTTTTACTCCAAAAATACTGTGATGCTCTAGATTGTTGAAATTGCTACTTTTGCTTAACATATGGTTGTTTCATGTTTAGTTTAATCAAAATAGCGTTTCAGGATAGATGCAAAACATTTCATTTGCTAAACACTTACTTTTTTTTACAGTTAGGAATTTTTAATCAATACATTGTTTTACTATTTTTCATCTTTTATAGGGCTATAACTTCTATTACAAAAATAGATGAAAATGACCAATGGGTCTATCGAAAATCATGAAAAGAAAATAACTCTTTTTTAAATTTCATGTGTCATTAAACAGAATATCCCATGACCAAATATAAAGACGACTAAACGACAAAATAACGAGGCTCTACGAAAACATTTTCACATTTGAGTAGTGTGACTCTTTAAAAATGGGGGTCAAATCAGGTGCTCCGAAAGGATTAGCAGCTCCTGTATAATTATATTATGAGATACACAACAAATACGTCACAGTAACTGTTGTCTTTACAACAATCTCGTCCTCTTTTCCTTGATCATGAAATCACCGAATGATACTGAGTGTGCTGACTGCCGAATGTGTACTTATCATAAGCAACATGACTTAAACCGGATGTTCCTGCTTACCAGTCCGGGGTACCTGATGTCCCCCTATTTTTAGTAGGGTTCCTATTGCACAGTTGTTTGTTTGTTTTGTTTTAATCTTTTGTGGAAAATTGGTTCTTTTCATTTTTTATCCCAAGACTTTTGCAGTTTATCTTTGACTTATGCGTTTTGAATGTCCAGTTGGTATCTCTCCCCCCCCCCCCCCCCTTTTGTTTTAAATTTAGTAACATTTCAAACAATGTTGCATTTACCTTTTTCGCCTATCATGTCCTGATGATCATTCTTAATATTATATTTTATCGCTATGTTTTCAAAATAAATGCACACAATTGAGACAAAAAACGGAAACAAGTCTCATATTGGTAAAAAAACTGTAAAAAGTTGATTGACAGTTTCAGTTGTCTTACCTTTTTGAAGTTCTCGTCCTGTGGATAATTTTTGACATTTATTTGCTCTTTTCTATTATAGATCTCAGGATAATACCTACGTTGATCATTTAAAGTAAATAATAAGGAATCATTTGACAGTTTTGAAAAGATAGTAGTAATAAAAGTAGATCTTACATGTCTGAACATATATATAAAAAAGAAGGTGTGGTATGATTGCCAATGAGACAACTGTCCATAAGAGACCAAAATGACACAGAAATTAACAACTTTAGGTCACCGTACGGCCATCAACAATGAGCAAAGCCCATACCGCATAATCAGCTATAAAAGGCCCCGAAATGACATTGTAAAACAATTCAAACGAAAAAACTAACGGCTTTATTTATATAAAAAAATGAACGAAAAACAAGTATGTAACACATAAACAAACGACAACCACTGAATTACAGGCTCCTGGCTTGGGACAGGCACACACATTATGTGGCCGGGTTAAACATATATGTCCATTTAGTGTTATTTACCTTTAGTGGTTTACAAGGAAAAACAAACAACCTGCGATGTATCGTTTGTTTTATTATAGCCATGGACTCCATGTTGAATCGCAGGGGGATTATCGAACCAGTTCCACTGTTGTCGGTAACGACGAATTTCGTCCGTCAGTGTGAAAAACATTGGGTAGAAAACTTTCGTCAAAGTTATCTTGGCTTATATGAAATGGGGATGATTTTATACAAGGGCTGCAGCTTGGTAATGTTGAGTTGAAGCATGCAAGCAATTTTCATATCTGCAGTGCAGCTACATTTTTTTCGTACTTCCTGTTCGCTGATAGAAATGTTTCAACACTCATTGCAAACAGAATATTCACGTCAAACATTTCTTTGTCATGGAGGCGAATTATTTCATAATTAGTCTTCAGCTTGATAATGGTAAAAAGGACGTGAAGTTCTTTGACATATCCTTGGTACATCAACTGTCTGCTCAGAAACAAAGCTCTGCAATACCGTATGAATTGGGAAATATATATCCTATATGCAGGTGAAGTTGGTATATTGATTCTAAGTAGGGGGAAAAAACCCTCGAAATCTGCTAAAAATTGTCATTTGAGGTTGTCCAGTTGTACTGTAAATCTAAATGTAGATCTTTACTGACCATATGCCAGTTTTTTCTCTTACTGCTTTAATTTTTTATATTTCAGCAATGAACTAACGTTTTTATTCTTGTGGGTTTTTTTTTACTAGTTAAAGTCATAATTTAACTAGTAGTAACATATCGAGGACCGGACGCAGAAGATATGCTAAGTTTGATAACCTTTAATTCTGAGGTTTTAAAGGAAAATATTTAAGAAGGACAATGTACAGAATGATAATATTGTAGTGTTGTTGGTTTTTTTTTATGGATTCTTGTGTGTCGATGTGTTATTTTGAGGTAGCGTAAATTACGTAAAAACCATGTTCAAATGGCACAAAGAAAACAAACCACAACGCAAAGTCTCAATTATAAACACAATGTAATCTGTTAAAAATATAATATCAGTTTAACATAATAAAACAGCTGAACAATATTCCTGATCTCACTATCTCAATATTACTGTCCTTTCGTTCTCTAATTATCCTCTCAATTCTTCTAACTAACTATCTGTCTATTCTTTTTTCTCTGATCTCTCTCGCATCCCCTTATATACATAATTACAGGCGGTACCCCGACTGTTCCAAAGATGGGGAACCGGGCGGTACCCCGACAGTTCCAAAGATGGGGTACCGGGCGGTTCTAAAGTTACCGGGCGGTGAATTTGAATGAATTAAGACACCGTTCAAATAAATAAACTAACGGGCGGTGCCCTATTGAAATGTAATTTAACCCGAATGTATTAATAAAAAGATATGTTACATAATAATAAATTAAACTGTCAAAGCTAAAATCGCTACAATCCCCCCAACTAGCAATTGAAATTCCTATTTCAATGTAGTAAACAAAACTAGATTAACCACTGTACAGTTACGTAATCCAAAACACTCTCAATATAGCTCAACTAAAGTCAATGTTATAAGTTCACTGCAACATGCATAATAAAGTTATAACATCAGATTCTAACACTTTCAATTCACCACCACTAGCTATGACGAACCTGGCATCCACCAATGTGTTATTGAAATAATA